CTGGTCTCTGCACCCTGATACTCCTGGTGAGGCTGTCACCAGCCTGGGGGGTGGGGGGGTGGCCCCAACGTATGGCTCTGGCCTCTGCTGCCACCTTCCCATCTCTTCTAGGGTGACCTCTAGACTCCTATCCTGATCGCTACTTCCTTCTCACCATGTGATATTCCCGCAGGCTCCTTGGGACCAGAAGCGCCCTCTGTCCCTGTGAGGATGTGTCCCCAGCACCCCGAGCCTGTGCCCCTGGCACACCCTGTCCCCGTGTTGAAGGAGGCCCTGGAAAAGGTCGGTGGTGACCCAGGAGGGTGTGTGCCAGGCCTGAGTGGTGAAGGGGAGGGTCGCTCTCTGCACGGGAAGTGGCACTCATTCACCATGTAATTTCTGAGCACTGACTCTGTGCTAGACACCAGGGCCATGGCAGAAAGACGACACGGTCCTGTTCCTAGGAAGCTACTCGTCTGGGAATGAAGGAACAGTCAAGACGATAAACACTGATAACACAGGGGTGAGAGTGAGGGCAGGGGAAGTTTAGGGGGCTGTGGTGGGGGCACAAAGGGACTGACTCTGGGGTCAGGGAAGGCTTCTGGAGGAAGTGGTGTCTAAGCTGAGATGTGAACACTAGGAGACACCCAGCTGATGGACATGTGAATAATAAGGGAGCTTGTGTGTGTGTGTGGGGGGGGGGAGGGGGCGGGAAGGCATGTGGAAGGTGTGCTCCAGGTAGAGGGAACAGCATGTGCCAAGACCCAGAGTCAGCAGAGTAAGCACAAGGCACAGACAAAGAGCTATGAGGCAATTCAGTCTGGCGGGGCCATAGGTGGAGGGGGGAGAAAGATGAGATTGGAGAGGATGACAGAGCCCGTATCACAGAGGCCACTGCAAAATAATTAAAACAAAACACCCCCCACAATGTAACTTTTACCACTGAGGATGGCCTAACAGTAGAGGGGGTTGTCAGCTGGCTCTAGTCTGTGCCAGTCAGACCCCACCCACTTGGGTCACTCACCTTAGGAGGCATACAGACAAATGAAACACGATCAGAGAGGTAAGGGCAGCAGCGTGGTGGGGGGACTGGAAACTGTCATCCGAGGAACAGCTGAAGGGAAGGCAGACGATTCCACGCGAGAGAAGATGCAGGCTGGTGCAAGGGCACACTCACTGTCTGCAAGTACATGGAAGGCTTTTGTGAAGGAGAGGGAACAGAAGGGTGCCATGTGGCTCTCGGGGTGGGGGGCCATAGTAATTAATGGAAAAGCGAACAACGAACACCATGGCTGCCTTGTAGCGAGCACTCAGTATGT